TTTTTTTAATAGTTTCAGGACTGTTTTTTCCTTAGCCTTTCATCTGCTGAAATCTTTTGCTTTGAGACCTTTTCTGCTTCTCACCCACATTTAGAAATATGTGAGATAGACATAAATGTAGCAATGTCTTGTAACACAAGCAGAAATACTGAAAATTATGATGCAGAACTCTAGTTTAAAGATTTTTGTTTGAACATCTTGTCCTCACAGAAGTGTTCTGAAGATTGATGGGTGCTCGCTGAGCTTGTAGGAGGCTGTGTGCCATTTGGTGGGAATCACATCTACTGTGAGCAGCGTGCAAATATTTTTACCTAGTCTCTCTGTTCCGATCCTTGGCCTTCACAGAGTAAATATTCTTGTCAGTATTAGTACTGTCAGGGCTTTATTTTATTAGTACTTGTTGAGGCTTTATAGTTTGGTTGGATTGTTTTCCAAAACAGATAATTAGAAAACAAAAATAGAACAAATTCCTTCCCATCCTATTTGTCTGCTTCATCACATTCATTTGGAGACAGAGCTGGAGTTATATTTGAATAAAACTGCAAATTGGCCCAGAAAACTTGGAGTAGGGTCAGCTTCAAACAAGGTTATTTCTGTGAACCTGTAAAGCACAGATGCCAACTGGCATTCGTGCTTTTACAGTATTAAAGGTGTTTATTTCCATCTGATTGCCAACATGCTCTTAACGAATCCAATTACATTTTTGCCAAGCACTCGAGGTGTCATTACCAGTGAGCAAATCCGTGACCATTACAAGTAGCAGCGCTGCCCTAACCCAGCACATTTCTAATCTCTGCTAAATACCCTGTTCTCCCCTCATCTGTGAGGTATTCTAAGGAGTTTGGTTGCTAAAGGAAGGAAGGAAGGAAGGAAGGAAGGAAGGAAGGAAGGAAGGGAGGGAGGGAGGGAAAAAAATCCTTCTGACTCATTTTGTTTTTTGGAGAAGGAAAGAGGGGAAAAAATCAGATGTATCTGAGGGGCTTTGCTGTTCATTGACTGAAAATGTCAGAAAAGTAGGTGTTTATAGATACATATTTAGAGAATTCAAAATTCCTTTTTTTTTCCTCTTTTAATTTTGACAGACAAAACATCGGTCAAAAATACACAGATCAATTTGAGGTGTATATGTATATATATTTTTTCCACATCCTTTTTCTTTTCTTTTTCTACCTTTTTTGTTTGGTTAAAGGGAGAAGTTGGGAATCTTTAGCTTCTCCATAGACAAGAATAAAGAACAAATGTGGTGAGTGGGTGTACAAAAGCAAAGAGTTTTGCAGTCAATCCTCAATTCTCATTTGTTCGGAATTAAAAAGCTGAGAGTGTGTATATATACAAAATGGTATGTGTGCACATAAAACCAAAATTACATTATGATGAGGAACATATTTAGAAAATAAAATATTATTTGTGACTCTTTTTACCCATTTTCCCAAGGAAGGGAGAGTTAGGCATCCCCTTTATCTGTTTGGTAGGGACCTCTAATAATTTTTAACTTACCTACTGAGCAATTTCAGCCACATTTGTCCAAGGCAATAGCTCGAAGATAGTAAGGTGATTTATCTTACTTAGATAGTCATTTAGTGGCCTATCATGCTCGACAGAATGAGAAAAGCATGGCCGACGTGTAATTCATCCCATTTAGAGATAGGTAGGATAAAAGATTTCCTCAATATCAAGCACTATAGAGAAAATAAAAAAGATTAGTCATCAGGGGACCCTGGCAATGAGCAAGCTATAAAACCTGGATAGAAGAGAAGAATACAAATGTAAATTCTGTAATGATGAACAAGGAATCACAGAGGATTTCCAATAATCATAAATTGCAATAATTATTGCAGATGGTTAGAACCACTTCCCCCTTTCTAATTAGAATCATACTGATGAATGATTCTGTGCTATAAAAAAGCCCCAAACCATTTAAATATAGTCATCAGTTAGAAGTCCTTATACTGGCTTGAGTTATTTCTCTTTTTAGTTGTTTCCAAAAATGGTGAATGCATCACAGGACAGTAAATGTAGAACTAATAACTTGAACACACACATTTTTACAGACACAGGGTTTAGAAAATCATTTTTTGTGTATTGAGGGTGGATTAAAAATATTCTACATAGTGACAAGCACAAGGGAGTTCCAACTGCAAAAACTGTTTAGTCAGTAATTTCTTTTATATCCCAATGAATAATACAAATGTCATACATATTTCAGGAATAATTACAGAAGAAATGCCTTCTCTCTAAAGCTTAACATGTGGTGAATATTATTTACCCCTATTAAACACTCTACATTTATTTGTTTACATTTTTTTCATTAGCAAGTTTTGGTGAAATACATGTTTCCTGATAAGCATTATTTCCCCTGTAAGCAGAAAGAAAACCATCTCTTTTTTTCCTCTCCCTATTTCTGCAAGAAAAACTCCCTAGATAGCGGCTTTAGTATGCAAATGCTGTGAAACATACTGCAAAATCAGTTCAGAAGAGCACACTCCTGATAGCATTGCCCTAGCAACGCTCTAGTTAACATTAGCCAAAGAATGAAGGTTTCTGTGGTAAATCACTGTATCCGGGAATGCCCAGCATTTTAACTTAGGAAATTCTGACAGTAAAGGGCAGATATTTGCAATGCAAGGCTGTCTTTCTGAGGTGACAGCGATCATGAACGGAGACCTCTGCAGAATAACCTGGGATTCTTTTGCCATTGGTTTTAAACTTTAAGCAGAGTGTATGGCAATGTCAAATTGAAGAAGGTGATGGCACCATAACGGGAATTGTATCTTGGGTTTAAGAAAATATGTAACTAAAGATTTGTATTTCTGTAGGTTTGCTATCTGCCTACGGGGAACATCAGCACTATGTAATGGCCTAGGAAATACTGGTCATTTTAGGAAGTCACACTTAAATGAACCTTGTTGCTCTCGTTGGATTAGGTCACCAATAAGACTACGTGATAAATGAATCTGACAGCCTGACTTTCTCTGAAGATCCTAAGGATTTTGGAGGAAGCTCTGTAGTCTGGTTTGATGGTCCTAAGTTGTATCCTGCCTCATCACAGACTTCACATTCCTATTCTTTCCATTTGGCCCGGAATATGTATTTTTAGATGACTTTTTGAGGTGTTTTCTTTTACTTTTCGTGTCACGATGGCATTAGTTGCTCCTCCTAGTGGTGGTGTACAGACCAGCAGATTTTTCTACTCGGACCCTTCTGTGCTGTTCCTGGAAGCACAAACTCACCTGGCGTTTCAAAGGAAGCACAATCAAAATATTGCAGTCAACTGGCCTTGATAACTGGCGTTTCTCCAGCTTGGTGGTTGGTTGGAATTCTAAGAATTCTTTAGCAATTGTCTGGGACTGCAGGATAGCTGTTTTCCCAGGGAAAACACATAAGGAAGCAATCTAATTTTTCAAGGAGCAGCAGGAGAGATCCTAAGAAGTGAAACATTTCACAGTTGACAACATCTTGTCCTGTCAGTCCAAACCACAACAACAGAGGCCTCAGTTTTCACTTTTTCTTTCCCAAGTCCGCAGGCAACCACAATAAGCCACGCAGAGGGGACCACGTGGGGAATTGGATGGCAGTGGTGGTTTGGATGGCAGTGTCCCACACCTCATTGCACTGGAGGAGCCTAAACTTTGCAACAAGTCTCCAGACTCCTTCCTTTACCATGGCCATTGCTAACCGCTGATCCAAACGGGGCGCGTAGATTCCTGTGGCTCAGCTCTTGAGCTGGTTTTGGATATAAGGATCATGCTAACCACAAGGGGGCACTTGGCATTTAAACAAGTCCAGCGCTCCTTTCCTTATCTGTAGTGAAGCCTTTATCGCATCTAGTGCATATATAGAAAGTGTATATTGTATGGATAAATATGCCATGCTAAATAACTCTTTATCATTTATTTATCATAACTCTTTTCATTTTTCCGTTTTCATTTGCTACAATATATGATAAGTTTATCAATATCAAATAAAATCAATTTTCGTTTCAGTAAAAACAAAGACATAGAATTGCTTTTTTGCTCTCTCTCTGTGTTTAAAATGTTATGTTAAAAGATTCAGTTAAAGCAGCTGATAAACATCAGCTGCTGATCTTGAAGGGAGAGCAGTTTATTTTCTAAATAAAACTGCATTTGATTTAAAATGTCAAGGAGAGCAGATTGCAAAGGCCTCTTGTTTCTTTTTACACAAGTGGCAGATGTATTGCTTCTGCTGGCTAACTCATGGGAAAAACTACAGAGAATTAGGAGTGAATTGCCTTAGGATGAATAGTCTGCATGAGCTGGGCTCTGATGACAGCAAGTTTGAGCATCTTGATGATGTCACAGATTTGTCACCTTGTCTATTGGGAAGTGATGGATAGAAATTGTCACCTCTGCTGACACTGGTAGAAGAGCAAGGAAGAATCCAGAATGAGAACAGCTTCTGTGGGTGGCTTTAAAATTTAGCCACAGTATCATTCTGCATAATTTTGTTTTCTGGCAAGTGTTAAACTAAATGTATAACTTAAGTTGATGAAAAGAAAACTTGTTTGAGAAAAGAAGTGGAGACTTATTAGAGTGTTTTCTTTTGTGAAAATGTGGGATGGGTCATTGCTGGACACTGGACACAATGTATCGTTGCACTGGGAGTGGATCTTGCTAAGCCCTGCAAATTCCCTTACATAAAGAAAGTATTCATTTAAAATTCAGTGTGTCTTTTAGTTCACCAGCTTCCCCAGGATGGTTTGACATAGGCAACTTAATGAAAATTAAGAATCTTAAATTCAGGTTAAATCCCTTAGTCAGCTTATATCTCCTTTCCAGAAATACATTGTCCAGCTATTCAAGGCTTAGTAGAAGAATCTGTAGTAAATCTAACTTAAGACATATTTCAATATTCAGTTAAACCAATTCCATTAATAAAGTCACCTGACTTTCTAAGGTCTCTGACAGAATTTATCCTACTGGTTCATCCTGGAGTTCTTGGCAAATCTTCTTGGGCATTACTATGCAACGGGAGCCCCTTGGGTTCTTTCCATCTCTTCCTGGTCCTTGCTTTTAGGGCTTTTCTGTATACCTAGAACTCTGCTACAGTTGTGTGTTGTGTGTTACTGTTTGCATTAAGCTCTATTTTCTGTGAGCTTTTGCTTTCTTGTGATTTTACTCTGTAATGCACTAAGCTGATCAAATGACCGTGAGCATTAGGAATTGAATCTTCCTCAGTGATTTTTTTCTGCTTGTTTTTGATAGGATTCAGTAGAGGTGAATACACCCCTTGGTGATTTGACTGATTTCCTGTGCTGTTGTTTCTCGTGTTTTGATTTGTGTTGCTGTGCAACAGCTAAAGACTTCATATATACAAGGGCTCAGCAAGCTCTTCAATTTCTGCATTGACAGGTGGAGTGAGAAGTAATTTATCACACGTCCTTGTTAAAGTGGCCCTTTTACAGTTTTCCTAGTTGTCTGTTTTTGAAATAGCATTTTGTAGTGTTGGGGACTTGGAAAGATCTGTTAGTTGAGTAGTAATAACTACATGACATAGTCCTGCTGAGCACTGCAACACCTAGACTCCTGGTTCCAGGCAGAGAAGTCAGAAGGCTGAGCTAAGTGCCTAAATTTCCTACGTATTAACCAAGAGAAGGGCATCTATCTTGGAATTCCCGGAATTCCTCAAAGAGATGGTATGCCAACGGGAAGTTGGTAGGAAATGCCCAAGAGTTGTGTTTGAAATCCTGTCTTCTTACAATAAATGGGCATCATCTTGCAGATATGAGTCAGACACCCGTTTATAACTGCTATTCTGAGCTGAAACCCTTTCTTCATACGGGAAGAGGCCAAAGAGAACAAAAACCCATCAGCCAGGCATTGTAGTAATGAGGACAATTTCCCTGGGGAAAAGGATATCTGAGGATGTCTGGGATTCCATGTTCTGCTCATGCTTTTTATATTCAAAAGTCCTTAGAGGATATATGTAAAAAAGCCTTAAACTCCTTCCATCTTGAGAAGTAGTTTCATTGCTGTAGCTGTAGAAGAGTTTTTTCTCACTTGTTTCTTCTCCATCTGTCCCTGTAAATTTTGCCTTCCTGACTTCGTAGTGGCCTGACTTCAAGAATTGTCACAGCACTAACTCTAACAGCAAAAGCACCCCCAGGATTTAAATCCAAATTCTTGAGGTTATAGAGGACAAAAATGTAAGTCTGCTAGTGAGCTTAATTTTTAGACCGAAGAGGTTTCCTTCCTCATGTGAGCATGCCTGAGCAGGTGTATCACGTTGTGTCCCACGAGGAGCACAGCCAATGGGAAACTTTGCTTTGAAACTTTGAAACTTAAAGGTTTTCAACAGCAAACTAAGTAGCTTAGTATTGCCCATGGACAAGTACAGTAGCAACTGTTCAGATGTTTCCCTAAGTTCTGTGATAAAAACAGATGTGAAGAATGCAAGGCACTGCATAGATTCCTTTATTAGAAATGGTATGTTAAATTCTCTCTGAAGGGCAATTTAGACTGGTAAGTTCCTTTTATATTTTGAGCTTCATTTCCCAATCTGTAACTTGGGAATAATTCCACTTTCCAATTCACAAGAATATTGTGAGGATAAATACACTGCCAAATTGTGAGACATACACACACCGTAGAAATGGTAACCATATACTTTAGTCACATTATTGACTTATTTCTATCTGCTTGCTCATCAAAGCAATGGTCCAGGGCTTTTTATTGCATTTGGGTATCATCATTCCTCCAGAGCTGGATCAGTACACTGGCATCTGTTTTGAACCAGCTGCATTGGCAGCAAAAAATGGACAACACTTCTGAAACCATTACATAAAGAAAAAAAAAAAAAAAGGATCTAAAAGCAACTTGCTCTTTAGGTGGGAGAACTCAAGGAAATTAGATAAGACAGACCAAGGAAAAAAATGGTCTGTCATGACTTATAGCTGCAAAGTCAGGTCTTGCTGTCTTACACACCACAGACGGACAATCTGGTGGGGCAATAGGTAGTGGTGCTTGAGTTTGCACAGAGAAAGCTTGAATACCTATTTTCACTGTGTTTGAGTTTTTTGTGGTGATACAAAATATGCTACAGGCAGGTCACACAGTTATAATCTTTAAGATGCAGTCATGTCAAGAAGGTCAAAAAAAATAGTATCCTGGCTTGACAGTGCTAAGGGCTTCTCTGTCTGTCTCTTTTGATTCTGTACAGACACTGACATCCTAATGAAACACCACAGGACTCTAGTGCAATTTAGCCAAGTTGTCTGTGTAAGGTGCAGTTGGTTTACTTTTTCTCCCCAATTTGTCCAGCTCTGACTATATTGAATGCAGGAGCATTCTGTATTAGGGCAAAGGTTTAATCTGCATCCAAGGTATTTCAGTTTTAATTGGGAGAAAAACAAAAAACAAAACAACAAAAAACCTATGTTTTTCAGGTCTCCGATGTGTCTATTATAACAGATCAACATTAATAACAATTCAGTTATAGGTGAAACATTCTTGAAAGATTTAGCTTTTCTGTTGTTTTTATGTCTCTCTCTTTTTTTTTTCTTTTTTTTTAATAAGTAGGAGGGGTTATCTTTTAAAAGCACTTCCTCTTCTGCTGTGCTACTGCAAACCCCTGGATTTAATGAAAGTCATTCTTGAGTGAATCTCAGTAACAGACTTTTTAATGAAAAATAAGGTTTGGTGCTGAGTAAAGAACAAAAATGACATATAGAAGATTATCAGAGAAAATAAAAGAGTGAACAGCAGGAAATAGAAAGGAGAACACTGGAAATTTCAAATAGAAGAGGCAGATGTGTGTGTTTGGTAGCTGTTAGAAATCTTTGGCAGGACTATTAACTTCGCAGATGCAACAAATAGAAATCTTGATAATGTTCAAGGTCAAGAATATAAGTTATCGATCTGAAGTGACAAGGTTCTTTATGAGAATAACATAATCTTTCATGACAAATGACATTTTCAAGTTCACTCTGGAACAGAGAAAAATGACTGTTCCAGGATGGAGAGGTGCCCAAAAAAAGTAGAAGATGAAGTGATGAAGTGATCTGACCAAAGAAAGGAAGGAACAGTTATAACAAAATATGTAGACCAAGACTTAAAATTTGATTTTGGACTTCTTGACTTTTGGCAAATATTCATAAACAGTTTTCTGAGAAACAGATTATATGGCCTCCTGGAGATGGGTTTTGCATGATAAGTAGAGGAAAAGGGGGATCTTATCAATATGTATAAGTACGTGAAGGTAGAATGCAGGGAGGATGAGGCCAAACTCTTCTCCGTGTGGCCAGTGACAGGACAAGGGGTAAAGGGTGCAAGTTGAAACACAGGAAGTTCCACCTCCATGTGAGGAAGAACTTCTTTCCTGTGAGGGACAGGCTGGAACAGGCTGCCCAGAGAAGTCATGGAGTCTCCTTCTCTGGAGATCTTCCAAACCCGCCTGGATGTGACCCTGTGCCATGTGCTCTTGGCCTCCCTTCTTGAGCAGGGATGTCAGACTAGATGATCTCTAGGGGCCCCTTCCAACCTTAACGATTCTGTAACTCTGTGATTCTGAGATTCTGTTGTTGTGAGTTACCTCTGACATGTTACGTGACTCTTCAGTCAGTCCATCAGCTCTCCTGGCACGCGATTTCAAAACGGATCTCCAGGTGAGATTTGAAATCTTCGTACTAAAAAGTAGCCATGGCAATGAACTTTGGTTACAGGTAGGGAGAGATTCTTCATGGTCACAAGGTATTTTGGCTTGCCCAGCAGGGAGCAGCAGGGCAGAAAACTAAATCTATATCATTTTAACACAGTGAAAATCTGTAATGCATAACAGATAATAGTAGCATGTGGTTAATCACTTTTGTGACACATCTCTATGATGTGCCAGCAGGCATCCTGTAAACAAAAAGCGAATAATAAGCAGATAGAACGACAAACATTGTAGTTCCTGAAGAGCAGGGACTGTGATGGTGACTTCTGACTGTCTTTATACAGAATAGGCATACTTGTAAAATATTTGTTTACTATAATTACAGGGTTCCTTAAAGCAGCTCCTTAAGCAACTAGAAGAAGAAAAGAAAAGTCTCCAGAACCAGCTAAAAGACTATGGACTTAGACTGGAACAAGAAGCCAAGGTTTGTAATCACTGAATGTCTCTAATCCATAAAAGCCATTGTGCTGTCCAACAAGCAGTCTAAACCGGTGGAGCAGACGTTAGATATCTCAGAGTCACAGAATAGTTGAGGTCAGAAGGGACCTCTTGAGATTGCCTGGTCCGACCTACCTGCTCAGTCAAGGTCTAGGCTAGCTCAGGACCATGTCCAGTCAGGTTTTGAGTATCTCCAGAATGGAGACTCTACAAGTCCTCTGGGCAGCTTGTTCCAGTGCTCTGTCATCCTCACTTATGTTCAGACAGATCTTCCCCTGTTCCAGTTTGTGACCATTGCCTCTTGTACTATTATTGCACATCACTAAGAAGAGCCTGGCCCCATCACCTGTAGTCCATCCTGTCAGATATTTCTGTCCTTGCTAATATTTATACACATCGGTGAGATTCCCCTGAGCTTTCGGTTCTCCAGGCTCAACAGCAATCTCAGCCTCTCCTCTTATGAGAGAGGATCCTGTCCCTTAATCTCCGTGGCCCTTCACTGGACTTCCTCAGTAAATCCTTGTATTGGGATGCCCAGAACCGGACACAGTAATACAGCCCAGGAGGCTGTTGGCCTCCTTTGCCATAATGGCACACTGCTGGCTCATGTTCTGGTTTGTCAGGACCATCAGTCCTTGTCTGCCAAGTTGCTGCCAGCAAGTCGATGCCCAGCCTGCACTGGTGCATGGGGCTGTTCCTCCCAAGATGCAGGACCCAGCCTTTCCCTTGGTTGAACTTCATGAGGTCCCCCATTTCTGCAGCACACAGAGGTCCCTCTGAATGGGACCATTAGCCATTCCTCCAAGTTTCGCATTGTCTATGAACTTGCCAAGGGTGTACCACTAAAAAGGTTCTGGTATTTGTTTGCTTCTTCCCTTATGATTCAGCTTTTAAAATATTTTAATTAATTGTAGCTTACATTCCTTATTTTAAATATAGGCTTACCACAAAGCCAATGATGAGCGGCGCGTGTACCTCTCAGAGATCTTACAGGTAAGAAAAACGATGTAACTGATCAGCTTTTTAAAATCATTATGCTCCCTTAATATAGCAGCTACTAATGCTATGAGGCAAAAGTCACAGTGTTATCACTGTATCCACCTACCATATCAAGGTCATCTACCATATTCAGATCATTGTATCTTCACTGAGAAAGCTGAGGCAACATCTGATGCTTGTCTATCATGAAAGTACCATCCTGCTGTTTAATGTTTTTGCTGAAAAGAACAGAATTATTAGCAGCAGGGACACTTATGTTAAGTTTTATTTCCTCCTTTTCATGTTCACTCTTTTTTTCCTTTAAAGACAAGTTAGCCTGTCAAATCAGAATGACAAAACAGTAAATACTTCAATTAAATTCAGAACAGAAGTGATGAGATACCTTATTGTTATGAAATCAAATATTAGATTTTATTACTGCAAATTATATGATACATAAAAATGGTTAAAATGAATTGTGAGGAACTTTCTAAGGTTTCTAGTACTTCTTATGCTGAAAGCGCTCTTAATTCTTGAATAATGTAAAAGTAATAGCTTAGTGTGATACTCAAGACATGCAGTGGAATGACTGTCACTGAATGCCTGGCGTAGCCTTTCACTGGGGTGAAAGGCTGTAATGAGCAATGTTTCCATGTGTTTGCACAGCAGGCGAGTGATTCTCTGGGGTGGTTCATTGCTGCTTTGGAGACTCTGAACGAATTGCGTAAGCTGGATTCCCAACATTCGGCCAAGTAAAAGCTCAGGAAATGCCAATGAGAACTGTTAATTTCTTCATATCAGCAGTGACACTGGGAAATGCAGAAGGAGGAAAATTAGTTTGGTACTGAATATGCTAGCAAGAGGGGTGCCCTCTGCGTCCTTAAATTATGTTCAGCTATACTTAAACATTTATAAAACATTGTTTGAAGTGAGGAACATGCATTCGGGAGGGCATTAGGGACTAAGTTTTAGCCACCCACGCTGAAGATAGTTAGTGCTTACATTTTCAGTAATGAATCCCATTATTTCAAAATAATTTTAGGACAAAATAAACATCTTCAGATTCATTTTGTCTAGCTTTAACTCTCCAAATGTTAAGCATTCAGTCTAAAGTCATTGTAGAAGAATTCTCTGTAAACTGTGGAGAGAGAGATGCATGTTTAAAGCACAAACCATTACACATGTTTTAGGCTAAGATGAAATGAATTTCTTTCAGAGTTATCTGTCTCTCTTCCTCAGCTGTAAACAGAGCCTACTTGATTGATTTAGAGTACACATTTACCTTTTACATGACTAATCTGAGCACAGTAGTCAGTCTTATCATTTTTGATTTTTGGTTGCAGAAGAATCATTGGCTTATCTGCTCCCTTCAGGCCCTGTTTTTCTATAAACTTGAGATGACTGTTGCTTTTATGTTATTTTAAAATCACATATGTATGCTTTCACTTTTAACAGATCATTTTAACAATGGAGATTTAAATAAATGAATTTATGTTCAGCCCAGATTTTTTTTTTGGCTGTATTAAAATTTCACTGTCCTAGAGTCTTTGCTGTAAAGTCACAGTGGTTGAGTGAGGTTTACCCATAAGCTAACGTTTTCCATATATTGCAAAGATTTTTTGCAATTAGCTTTTACTGTCATAGTAGAGTCTGATTTGTGATTAAGATTGTTTTGTAGGAAAAAATAAACCAAACCATAATTATAGATATTGCCCCTGGAAAATAGTTCATCCTACTGTAGCTCATTTTAGTTAGGATAGGCCCGGAGTAAACTTTGCCAGCAAAAGCTTAGTAATTGATATTAATTCTTTATATCCTGGAAGTTATATCCATATGAATAAAAAATCTATTGAAGCGGTCATAAAATAGGCCTTGCCTAGTGTATCTTAAAATTGCAAGTGACAAATCATAGTTGCTATGATCTTCACTGGAGTTCCTCTGGTGCAAACAGTATTTCAGTCCCCAAATCAACATGATATCAGTATAATATGTGCCTAAAGTGCTCTGCAACATTAGGGCCATAGCTGGTCTAAATTACTTTGAAAGTATTTTACTTCCTTAACTATGCCTGTGGTTAGGAGTTAACTTGTTTTGTAAAAATGTGATTCTTACAGATCTCAGCTACGCTTAAATTTCTTGAAAGGCAAAAGCCTGATGCAATGACAGGGAAGAAAGAAAACAAGATACTGAAGTAAGTTTCTTTTATATTCCTTCTGTTTTCTGGTTTATTATTTTATTGTTTTCAATATTGTAACTTCCTGCTCATACTGTCACTAAACATAATCAAAATATTAATGTGTAAGATAATTTTAACACTTCATTACAGTCAGTTTTATTTAAGTATGTTGCAAGACTGAAGATGAAGTACTGAAATATGTAAGCAACATTTTTGGAATCTGACAATAGTTTTGATGTTCTTTCAAGCTCTTCTAAAACTGAATTATTTTTTTCTAAATTACTGCAGAGTTTCAGCAAAAATTATGCCCTCTAGTCCCTTAAGAGTAACTAAAATGCTTAGCCTGGACCTTTTCAGTCAGCAGAGGTTGTAAAGTTTTTTGTGGATAAGTATGTGAATGACTTTAGATCTCTTGTGTAAAGGCTTAATTGTTCAAAAGATTTTTGGTCAAAGCAAAGGAGGATTTAGTTATATGGGTTTAAAAATTTAAATGTGAACAGAGCCCATTTGGAGCTATGTAGAAATAAAATATATTTCTAGCTGTAGTCCTTGTGAGAAAGCTTTAATTTGGAGGTGATTTATTTTTTAATTGGTCTAAACAAGACCAGTTAAAGAACCTGAGGGACATACATAGAGCCCTAAGAATACAGGGAATCAGATGAGAAGTATGTCAAACCAGCCTCCACTGGCCATAAGTAGATTTCCCTCAAAACTGTGTGAAAACAAGGTAGGCAGATAAAATATTTGCTTGTAGTACTTTCCCAAATATTTTCTGTTTCCTATGGTTTCTATTAATCTCAGACGAACCCCAAAACTTACTGTATTATTAAAACAAGCATACACAAAACATATTGACAACATTAAAAATATAGTGAGTAAATTATAAACATGAATTGTACAGATGTACTTTCTTACTGGGTTTATCCGTCCTATATGTGCAGAATATACTGTGTCTGTAGCATGGCAGGACTTCTGCTGCATTGGAGCTTCACACCCAGGAGAGGACAGGGGTACAGCATGAGCTGATATCTGCAACTGAAGTTTCTCAGTATTAAATAAGCACTGTGTGGCTCTGAGATTCCCCATATACCACCAGTGTGGGGGATCTGGCCCTGTGAGTGCCTGACACAGCTCCTGGAGGAGGACAGGAAGTTAGAACTAGGAAAATTCCCTGTCTCTGCAGGGAAACTAAACACCATCACCAGATATTGAGATCTGCCGGGAAATAGCACTGTTCTGTGATTATCTGCTGGGATTTTCTTGTTGCTGTGTTATTTTTATTTATTTATTTTAGCAGATCATTACTTACCCCAAAATTATATGACAGAGAATCTCTGTATTTCTCCTTATAATAAAAAAGGAAAATATAATTCTCTGTAATTATTGGTCTCAGAAGATGCATATTGTAACAAAATATCTCTTTCACTCATTCCCTGTCAGAGGATTTTTTTCTCTTAACTTTTCAAAGCCACACACATGAAGGGATTTTTTCATCCTTTAATTTGACATTGATAGCATTAAGGACTACATAGTTTGGAAAATACCAGCTTTTATAACCAATGACCAAATTTCAAACTTTGTTGGCAACATAGAGATAGGAATGGGCATTTG